GTGGTGTCCTTATGGTAGGTGCATATGTTAGGAGCTCTGTCATTAATTAATTTGATTATATTGATTTTATAATTAACTATACTGTTATTTATTTGATATTTGTTTTGATTTTTTCAGTGTCAGACCGTGTGTGTGTGTGTGTGTGTGTGTTGCTACAGATTGGACTGACAGTTTTCACTTTTCACAGTCAGTTCAATCTGATGGTTTACCGCAGTTATTTAATACAACGCAAAGAGAATACTGCTGCCACAAATACACGAACATGTTTTGTTTTTTTTAAGATTATTTTAACACGATGATTTCTGTAATGTTTTACTTGAATATCAACGAAATGAATTAAGACTTATTGGGTTAAGAAATGCAGCTGAGCCATAGGTCCCCAACTCCTGCTCATAGGGTGGGAAATCCTAACCCTAACTTTAACCCTAATATTAATCCTAACCAAATCCTTACAACTGCAGTAATAGAAATGGACAAGTCATGTTAAGATCAACAGTAAACAGAAGTTAAACGTATACAGTGAATTCTTCTCCAACAAAATGTTTTCAGGAGAAAAAAAAACCCATTGGTTTTCCAGTATCATCATCATCATCAGGTCTGTCCTTCATTTTCTTCAATGTGTGCTACTGGTTTCAGTATATTTAATACATCAGTGCAGGACCAGAGGTGAAAGACACAGCTTTGTTGTGTGGTTTGGTTTCTCAGGCTGAGAGTCTGGTTAGATCAGAAGGGACAAACAAACTGCTGCTACACTGTCAGCTCCACAACAGTTAACTAACATAATATGACAGACACAGTTACCAGCAAAAAAAACAGCTGGTAGTTTCAGGTAAAATCAGGCATTCAAGAGGAGGAAAGATTTAGAAACATACATTTGTGTTTTGACTACAGGATGCAGTTTGTCAGTAATGATGGAAAATTCACTAAGAGGAGAACTGGCTGCTGTAACTCAAAATATATTTTCTTTAAAACCTAACATAATATCAAACAAAGTGTAGCCCTGGACATTTTCTGTGTTACCTTTAAAAAGAAAATTACGAAAATAACTTATAATCATCCATCTGATCTGTGAGAAACTTAATTTGCAAACATAATGCTGAAAACATTTATTTAAAATGGTCAGACTAACTTTGCTTTATATTTAGCTGCTGCTTTGCTAACTTACAAACTACTACAAACAACAACAGCTCCAACAAAGCTAAAAGTCACCCTTGATATTTCCATTAAAATGGAGGAAAAATCACATTTTGGCCATAGAACATTATAGCAAAAAATATAACCTGTCATGGCCTGAAGAGGTCAGCACTGAGGAAACAACAGACTAAAAACCTGGGAATTCTTAGTCAGGGAGAAGATGTAAGAAAGTCAAACTTCAAAACTTCAGAGGAAGAAAAGCACCTGGATGAACAAGAACCTTCACAGACATTTTACAACGCCACAAATTAACATACAAACTTAAAGAAAAGAATGAAAACAGGGTTAGGTTTAACTTAACCAAAGAAGCTAATCAGGCCAGGAAACAGAGGGAAAAGGACATAACTAACACACATAAGAACTGAACAGAACAGCCAAACGGCAGAATGGCACCTACCTGAACCTCCACAGAGAACCTCGCCAGGAAGCCTTAAGAGAGAGAAGTGAGCCATTTGGAGGCCTTATATACTACACCTAGGTAAGGGGGCAGGGTTAGGGAGGGTTAAGGGATGAGCTAGGGGAGGGGCTAAGGGAGGAACTAGGAGAGGCTAACTGAGATGTGTGTACAACCTTCACTACACTAAGAACTAAAAACAGAATCTTATTCTGGGATGTCAAAAATGACAATAAGGACTTACTTGACTATGACTTCCATGAAAATATAAAATAAAAGTAGTGGCTCCAATTTTAATCTTAGACCCTAAAGGGTGTGACTACAATTAAATCATCTGTTTACTCAGGAATCACAACTATGAACAATATAGATCATCAATAAAACATTAAATAATCATTAATTATATAATACTGCCCTCCATATTCTAGATAGATTTTATGATTATTTTTTTATTATGGATACAATTACCATAAATGGTCCAAGGTTGGAATAAATACATTTAGTTACAGAAATTACAATTCAGTTTATCCAGATTGAACCCTTGGATTGATCATATTATTACGAGATTCAACATGAATTGTTGATTAAATACTTAAACCGTTAGTGCTTTATTTTGGCACTGTCTCAGGAACTAGATTTGTAACTTACTGTATTTGTTACTGATACTACTACAGTTTGAAGATACTATATCTTCAAACTGTAGTAGTTTGAAGATACTATATCTTGAACTGAACGGATTACATAGTAGTTTAATGTACAACTCAGAATTCACATGAACTGAGGAATAACTGTGAGGCTGCAGTAGGAAAGGAAAAGGAAAGGAAAGTGAACTCCTTGTCATTGTGACATTGTGACACACACCACTGCACACAATTAAATGTGACCTCTGCATTTAACCCATCACCAAAGTGAACAGTGGGCAGCATTAAGGGCCCGGGTAGCAGGGTTTAGGGATGGTGCCATGCTCAGAGCACCTCAGTGGTAACTGGTAACAGATGGTGGATTCGAACCTGAAACCTTCTGGACTTCAGTAGAGACAGGATCCAGTTGATCTGACGGAGCAGCGGGACAGAGAAGAACACGGCTCCACTTGTAAATAAATGGTTCTACTTGTCATACAGAACAGTTTAATAAACACCATGTAGGAAAAATCTTTAAATGCAACACACCTGCTGATTAGAGTGGTGTCCTTATGGTAGGTGCATATGTTAGGAGCTCTGTCATTAATTAATTTGATTATATTGATTTTATAATTAACTATACTGTTATTTATTTGATATTTGTTTTGATTTTTTCAGTGTCAGACCGTGTGTGTGTGTGTGTGTGTGTGTTGCTACAGATTGGACTGACAGTTTTCACTTTTCACAGTCAGTTCAATCTGATGGTTTACCGCAGTTATTTAATACAACGCAAAGAGAATACTGCTGCCACAAATACACGAACATGTTTTGTTTTTTTTAAGATTATTTTAACACGATGATTTCTGTAATGTTTTACTTGAATATCAACGAAATGAATTAAGACTTATTGGGTTAAGAAATGCAGCTGAGCCATAGGTCCCCAACTCCTGCTCATAGGGTGGGAAATCCTAACCCTAACTTTAACCCTAATATTAATCCTAACCAAATCCTTACAACTGCAGTAATAGAAATGGACAAGTCATGTTAAGATCAACAGTAAACAGAAGTTAAACGTATACAGTGAATTCTTCTCCAACAAAATGTTTTCAGGAGAAAAAAAAACCCATTGGTTTTCCAGTATCATCATCATCATCAGGTCTGTCCTTCATTTTCTTCAATGTGTGCTACTGGTTTCAGTATATTTAATACATCAGTGCAGGACCAGAGGTGAAAGACACAGCTTTGTTGTGTGGTTTGGTTTCTCAGGCTGAGAGTCTGGTTAGATCAGAAGGGACAAACAAACTGCTGCTACACTGTCAGCTCCACAACAGTTAACTAACATAATATGACAGACACAGTTACCAGCAAAAAAAACAGCTGGTAGTTTCAGGTAAAATCAGGCATTCAAGAGGAGGAAAGATTTAGAAACATACATTTGTGTTTTGACTACAGGATGCAGTTTGTCAGTAATGATGGAAAATTCACTAAGAGGAGAACTGGCTGCTGTAACTCAAAATATATTTTCTTTAAAACCTAACATAATATCAAACAAAGTGTAGCCCTGGACATTTTCTGTGTTACCTTTAAAAAGAAAATTACGAAAATAACTTATAATCATCCATCTGATCTGTGAGAAACTTAATTTGCAAACATAATGCTGAAAACATTTATTTAAAATGGTCAGACTAACTTTGCTTTATATTTAGCTGCTGCTTTGCTAACTTACAAACTACTACAAACAACAACAGCTCCAACAAAGCTAAAAGTCACCCTTGATATTTCCATTAAAATGGAGGAAAAATCACATTTTGGCCATAGAACATTATAGCAAAAAATATAACCTGTCATGGCCTGAAGAGGTCAGCACTGAGGAAACAACAGACTAAAAACCTGGGAATTCTTAGTCAGGGAGAAGATGTAAGAAAGTCAAACTTCAAAACTTCAGAGGAAGAAAAGCACCTGGATGAACAAGAACCTTCACAGACATTTCTCTCATTAGTGGTTAGGGTTAGAACAGGAATGTTTTTCAATTTTCACCATAAGAAATGAATCAAATACACAAGTAAAGCAATCAGAGATTCATCGGGTGAAAAAAACACTGTTAAAACACTTAGAGATCTGACCTTTTACTTCAGGCCTCAGCAACTTCCTCTACAGGATGTACATTTGGAACGCTTTCAAGAGGAGCAGCAACAATAAAAATACCTTTTAATCGTCCTGATGTTTTGGTTCCATTGCCAAGTAACAACATGAAAAAAAACACACAGAGCTGTGGTTGTTGGTCAACAACAACAGTCAGAAGAAGAAATAAAAACAACAACCGCAAAACATTTGATCCAACAGTGTTCTACTGGAGCAGTTTCACCTTGAAAAAGTCAGTGAAGTAACACCAAGAACTAAGACATTTGTCCATGTTGGACCAAAGGTTTTAGTCTTCTCCTGTACACACTCTACCTAATGAAAACATGTGGAGTTGACAAGTCACTGAAATCACTGAAAATTAAATAGTGTTCTCCCCTGGATGTCGAATTATTAAATTATTTTAATATTGATAAGAACATTTGTAATCATTATATGCAATGCTGTGAAAAAGTCCAATAAAACCTGACAAGAAACAGAATCACTAATTAAGAGCAGATGTTTGAAATGAACATCACAAATATCTTTTGTAAAACTGCATTTTTTTAGTTACACTTCAAATATTAAAGAATTATTTTATTCCTTTGTGTGTGTGTGTGTGTGTTAGTTATTGATTTTTTTAGCTTTTGTATTTTTCATATTTTTATTTTTTATAATTAGATTTCTAACAGCAGTTGGTCATAGAAAAAAAGGTGAACAGCCTCCACAGTATCAATCAATCAATCAATTAATCAGTAATAAATCAAATTGATACAATCAACAAAATTAAACAGCTTTTTTCTACATTTCCTACTGTTAAAATTCATGTTTACTTAGTTATTTATCCATAGAATTTCTTGTAAATTAACATAAATTTACATAAACCAGAGTGTTGGTCAATAAAAGTTTTCACAGTAACAAAAAAGAATTTGCACAGTTTATCAGCATACAAACGTTGGTATCACTTCAGAGTAGAGGCTCATAACACTCACTTGTAAAAAGTTTCTAAAGTAGTTCCACTAAAACAGAGAGTCCTGACCCCTGATCCCTGACTGGCTCATTCAGTACTGCACCCAGATAATATTTTTTGGGCCAAGGGACAAGAGAAAGGTTTATAGAACTTTTTTGCACTTTATTTATCAGTGTAAACGATGATGATACCATGAGAGAAACACTGCGTAAAAGTCTTTGAAGAGTTTCTTTGAGAAGAGGAAGCAGCCAATAGGAGAAGACCAACCTTCAGCTTTTAAAGTAGGGGTCGGGAATCATACTTTAAAAAGTGTTATTGTCAGAGCCATACAATATAAATATATAATATATTTTACTTCTGAATACTAAAGTAAATATTTTTAATCAAGAGTATAATAAGTCTCTGAAGTATTAAAAAGTTATTAAAGTTATTTACAAAATGAATAACGTTGTTATACTACCCAATACTTGAAGAAAGGAAGGATAGGAAAGTAAAATAAAATACCATTAATGCAACTTCTGGTACTTTATGGTTTTGATGTTATTGGCTCCAGCGCAAAAAAATAATAACATTAAAACATTAAAATGTGTAACAGAGTTCTAAATATATGGTTCCACTTGTCATACAGAACAGCTTAATAAACACCATGAAGAAAAAAAATCGGTAATTAAATGCAACACACCTGCTGATTAGAGTGGTGTCCTTATAGTAACAGGTTAGGAGCTCTGTCATTAATTAATTTGATTTTTCATTTTATCATTAACTGTACTGTTATTTATTTGATATTTTCAGTGTCAGACCTATGTGTGTGTGTGTTGTTACAGAATGGACTGACTGTGTTTTCACTTTTCATAAGAGAAAAAAAAAGATGATGTACTAAGCTGATGGTTTTACCAGTTATTTAACACAACGCAAAGAGATTACGCTGCTGCCACAAATACACAAAAAAAATTATTGCTTATTGTGTTAAGAAATGCAGCTGAGATTTATCTGAGAGCCAGATGCATCAAATGAGCCACATCTGGCTCGCGAGCCATAGGTTCCCAAACCCTGATTTAAAAGATACTTGATCCTACTCAAAGTAAGTAATAGTAAAATAGTACTTTATCACTGCTGATGACAAACCCTCTTTGTATAATATAAGATGCTCAGTGTTATGGTTTCAATATCAATCTGATTATTTATTTTCTTCTGTTTTTCATAATGAAACTGGTTCTTGGAGTAAAAGGTTGGGGGCATCTAACGTAAAAAATAATAATAATTAGGTCCTCCAACAGAAAGCGCAGTGAAAGAGTCAGAGCTGAAGAACAGGTTTGAACAAGTGTTGTTCTCATTTATACAGGCTGAAGGTCTGAGTTCATTCTTCCTTTTCATTTCTCGTACAGTACCAGATATTAATCCGGAAGCTTTACAGCCCAGATTTATCCATTGTTTTCAGTGGTTCTGATATAACCACTTGATGGTCTTGACTGCCGTACTAGCCCTCTCTTCAGTACCAGCATTCAGTACCAGTACAGGTCCTTTTTGTCCAGATGTCGTTCTGATCCACACAAAATGACAATTACTGATTTCTTACAGTCGCAGAGCAAAAATAAAAAGTAAGGAGAACAATATTGACCAGAGCACTTACCGGGTTCAAATCCCACTGCAGGATCAACAGGGTCTCTGAATCCTGCAGGCACCGTCCAGCTGGACAGCAGTTCTGGTTTGGAGCTGGAAGCTATGCTAGGCCCCATCTCAGCCCTGTCACTGTGCAGCAGGTTGAGCAGGGATGTAGCATATTGTTGGCCTGTGAGGCTCAATCCTTCTGTGGACAAGGAATACGCAATAGAGGGCAAACCTGGTCCATCTCCTGGTCTGGTTGGGAATGAGTGCCAAGAACTGTGGGGTGTGTCATCTTCAGGGTTAAAGGTCAAAAGACGACCTGGTCCTGGAGGATCGTGGGACTCTGTGAAGGTACTGACAGCAGCCCCCTGACAAGGACTTATGTCCTCTGCAGAGGACAGTAAGTGAGTTGACATCATCAGGATGGAGACATTATGTGACATCACTCATGACACTCACTCACTCACCAACTTTAATCATTTTTCGGATCTTCTTTGTCTTTCCCATCGGAGGTTTGGCCTTGCAGACTTTACTGAGGGCACGGCTGAAATGAGCGTCCACCATGGCGTTAATGTCGCCCTGGAAATAAGTCAGGATGACGCAGCGTGAATGCTCCTCCACCTTCACGGCCCTGGGGCTGTCGTTTACGTCCTCCATGGGTGAGAGACTGACAACAGTCGTGGAACGTTGTCAAAAGGAACCGTGATAAAAAATAAATAAATTTAAAAAAAACTAGGGGGAAAAAGTAACAATGAGAATGTACATATGGATGAATTTGTTATGATTGAAGAATTTTAAGGAATGAATTTTAAATGAAAAATATACAAATCAACAGAATATTTTTGTTATTATTTTACTGTGTTATTAACATGATGTTCTTTAGAATCAAATTTTCAAAAAATAAGGGTTAGTCTTAGGTATGAAAACATCTTAAAGAATAATTTATAAAATGCAAAGAAAATTGTAAAAATCATAGTGAATGAAAATGAAAATGTACTTACATATGTAGTTTAGATTGTGTTCCTTACCTTAACTGACTAATGGGTCACAACACACAAATCTTTAACGTTTTCAGTGGAGTCATCAGAAAGAGAAAAAGGACTAAGAAAAAAAATTAAAATTAAAAAAAGTATTTTTCTCCTGGACCAAGGACTCTGCTACTGCTACTGGCCAATCCTTGTTGAAATGAGGGTGTGTAAAGCTTCATCCTCACAGACAGTTATGAAGAAAATGCCGTTGAGCTTGTTTTCCCTGAAAGTGAACGACGCCTCATTAAAACATTCTGTACTTTGTTGGATAAATTCAAACCTTAGAGTGATCACTGTGATGCTTTTAATTAAACTAAACCAATGGGAAAGTTTTTTTTACAAAATTATTTATGAAGACGCCGTTAACACACTGTAATAAAAAGCAGTGCTAAAATACACACACACATATATCATATAACCCATGTTTCTCATATTTCTTTATTTTTCATAAACAATTAACAAGCACCAACAAAATATATGATATGCCTTTCATTATATGGTTTAAAAACAGCCCATTATGACAATGAAAGTTTGATTTCTGAGGCGCTCAGAAAAGTTAGACTGCTTTATAAAACGGAACAATTATGCTCTCTACTGGTGATGATTTGTAATTACTGACAGCCTGCGGAAGACTTTGACATAGTTCTGCTGGTGCTGTTTTGAGAAGCAAGCCAATCAGAGTGTATGAGGTCTTTCTTCAACCCTCCCACTGTCACTGAACGACTCCAGTCTGAAAAGCACAGGTAGAAAAAGAAAAATTCAATTTGTTTAACTCTTAAGATCCCACCTGAGGCCAAATGACACTAAGAAGAACACTGACCTGAGTCAGCGTCGAGTCGGAAACGTCCAACACACAAGTGGATTCTCCACTGTTTCCTCACTGATTCCTTCATTAAACAGTGAAAAAAAAACACAAAGAACCCTAAGAACGAATCAGAGAAAAAGGTATTAGTGTCATTGTTAATCACACTCAGTTTATCAGTTTATTTTAAAACAAATTCTACAGGAGTCATGTCACTATTATACAAAGTCAGAGGTTACTCCTGATGTTGTATTGTTCAATGATCATGCAATATGCAATTTCTGTGGGTGAAGGTTCACTAACAGTACTCCTACCAGACATCATTCGTTTTGATTATTTTTCAAATCACACTTATTAAACTTTAAAGAAACTACAATCTATCAGAGGACACAAATGATGTAAAAATCTAAAAAAAGGAGGTTATTTAATATAATTATTTATTTAATATAATATATTTAATATTTAATACAATAATCAAAAAGTGTTAATTCCAAAATAATTTATAGAAAAATAATAATTTAAGAAAAACATTCAAATTAGCACAGACTAGTAGGCAACTACACAGATGAGGGATATTTTATTATTACCTTGTAAAGTGTTGAAGATGGAGAAGAGATACATCAGGACGACCTGCCCTGGTCCGAAGGAGAAGAAGCCCATGGACCAGGTCAGACCCAGGAGAACAGTGAGACTGGCCACTGCCCTTAGGTCCTGAAGAGGACTGTTTCCCAAAGGTTTTTTGTTCCTCATCCGTCTGATCTGGATCAGCACCACCACAAAGACGGAGATGTTGCATAACAAGATCAGAAGAACAAAGGTCACCACCGTCACGTAGAACACCACATCATCTGTCAGCCAGCAGCTGGAGGAAGAGAAGCACTGTCTAAATAGTTATTATTTTAATTCATATCAGGCTTAAGGGACACAGGTCAGAGGTTAGTGTTAAACATTTTCAGACTCTCTCAATAACTACCCCTATAGGTGGTTGGTAAGGTTACTTTTACTAAGGCGCTAATGAAAACCTTAACCTTTGATTTTCAGCATTTAATCCCACTTAAAATCAGGACAAGAGGTTTTAGAGTTGAGTTCTTACAAAGACTCAGTGGACAGAGGTACGTCATCGCCCGCTACGTCTCCATAAGCATCTTTGTCTATTACCAGGACCAGGAAGACCACCACCAAAGGGAGACCTGTTCAAATGCCAATTTATACATATTTGTTTAAAAGGGTAATAAGTCAAATCTTTTATTAAGAGTGCACTGGTTTGTGACTCCATTATCAGCCAGCTTACCCCATCCTACAGCACTGAACTTCAGGATGTAGGAAGGAACATGCCTGTTGAAAACCTTAACCAATGCCAGGTACATATGCACACCCTCCAGGCCCATCCAGGTGAAAGAAGCCAATAGGAAGTAGTGGAGCGTTGCAGCTGTGGTGATACACAGGCTGTAGTCAGAGAAGGAGGAGAGCCAGGAGTCCAGGAGGAAGACCAGACTCAGACCCAGCAGAGCAGACGACAGATGGATGAGGATCTGAGAGGGATAATCCTGCCGCACTTTTCTATCATACAGCAACACAATGTATATACGCATTGGGTTTTAAAGGTTAGACTTAAGGGTCTGGTTAGGGTACACTTACTCAAAGGCAAGGTGAGTGATAAGAGTGATGCCCAGAAAGATGGAGGAAATTCCACAACCAAGATATGTGATAAGGGTTAAAATGTAACTGTGTTCATCACTGATCGGAGTCCTAGACACATCCTGGAGAAAGAAAAGAGAGGGAAATAACCACAATTATATTGTTCCTTCAACAACTTATGTAGGGTTCAGAATAAAAATAAACCTAGAGTCCTAGAGAGTAAACAGACTTGTTTGAAGAAACGAGACCCCGAAAAAGGTCCAGTAAACATCATCCAAGCACACATATGTGTTTTCTACTGTTAATGGACGGTCCTTACAAAACACAACAAGCTGTGTCATATGTCATTTAATTATTACATACATATTGTCAAAGTTAGTTTTATAAGTTTATGACTGTATTTATTTATTTTTGGTGACACATCATTAGGTCTTTTCCCTCTTCACAAAAAATAAAAACAAAACACAGAAAAAGAAAATCAAACTAAACCACAGCCAGCCAGATAAAATCAGGAAAAGCAATACGATAAAAGTACATAGCGGCCAAATGGACAGTTTGAAGCTGCTCTGTTGATTTGCTAGAAAGACAGGTAAAAAGGGTTGTTTCAATAATCCAGGTGTGATGAAGTAAAATGGTTTCTGTATCTTTAAAACTTAACATTGGTCGAATCGGGGAAAGTTCCTGAGTCAATAAAAACAGTTTTACAACAGTTTCATGACAGGCTACTAAAACTAAAAGATGGGATAGGACAGGAGTTTTGTAGTCAGATCACTGAGTGCTGGTAGTCATTGTGACTTGAAGTTCCTGGGGCCAAAAACAAGAATTATGGACTTTAATTGTTGACTTTGATTTTCAAAATAATAACAAACTCTAACCCTTGTTTTGGGCCCAGTGGTTGTTTAAGATCCAGATAAGAAGACAAGATGCTTGGGGTTGTTAGCAGAGTGAGGTTTGGTGAGGACTAACTCAACTTCCTGCCACTGATAGAAATAGTCAAGTCAACATCTCACCAGAAGAACAGCAAAGTGTGTGAGATGATCACAGAGACAGGTTGTCTGATGAGGAGAAACAGACTGGGTCTCACAGCCAGAACTCATCCAACCACCACTGCCACCTGCATAACACACACACACAATACACAATGACAGCAACGTACTCAGTCATATGATCATCATCATGTGCATAGTAGAAGTAAAAACAAACTCACCGTGTTTTTGAAAATCCCAAAATACACACTGGACTTTGTCATTGGGCTTTAACAGAGACAAAGAGGAACATACTCTGTCACCAACACACACTCTGTGACCAACACATACTCTGTGACCAACACACACTCTGTGACCACCACACACTGTGTCACCTGTTTAACCTTGTGATGTCTGAAGGTCACAGCTACTGGTTCCGTCAGATGACTGACTGGACTGTATCTGACACTGGCTGAAATCACATACGTGCTTAAAGTGCTGCTACCGTTGTCTTGTTCCTGTTTTTGAAAAAAGTAGTAACCAAATTAATTTTATTATTTAAATAAATACTTTTTTAATTGTGTTGTTCTTACCAAGACTAAAGTGAGATTACCTGAAAAAGGTCATAAGTTCCATAGAACTGAAAGTTAACACGGGTTCTGTTCTCAGTGAAGAACCATTGTAAGGCAACAGGAACAGAAATGGTTGCATCAGCATCAGGAAATAGATCAGATGAAAAAGTCTGGTTCACAAAAGTCTTTCAAAAAATACCAGAAGTAATAATTAAAATATATACACTATATTTTTTTTTCATGTTGGTGTTTTTTCAACTTTAATAAAATTCTTTTTACCTTTGGAACCATCGAAGGTGAATCTAAAGAAACACCAAATGTAAGACCTTTAAAATTTTCAGCTTGGACATTGACCATTGAAAGAGCCACAGAGGGCGCTGTTAAACTTTCAGACTCTCCAGAGAAAATCAGATTCTCTTCGAGTCTTTCCGTCAAATGGAGGAACCTTTTGTGATAAACAAAAGAAAGTAATGTAAAAATACAACCACAAAAAAATTACAAAATTTACTAAATAAAAAACAGACATGTTGGACAATGGTGTCAGGTCAGTTTGGGACAGCATAAGATCAGATATGATGCTGGTTATTTCAGACCCCACATTAGCATTGACGGCACTGACGTTCACAACTTCGTGCAGCTTGTTTATCACAGAAACTAGTTCAGGGGAACTGAGTTCTGAAGAGTTTCCTAAATGAACTTTCACCAGGTCCTGGATGATCTCAACAACTTCAGCTGCATTTCCTGAAGAAATTTGTGGTGTTGATGCTCCAGGTTAGGTTCAGTACTTTTATGGAGGAAAATGAACACCAGTTTCAAATAGTCTTTACTTACCATCAGTGACTGTAATGTTGTCCAGGTCTGAAAAAGACATCAGTTTGTAACATCTGCTGAAATCAGGCTTGGCCCACATGGTAGTGTCCGTTTTAAAGTTTATCTCACTGAAAAAAATGAAATGAAAGGCATCAGATCAAAATAAAAAATATTTTATTTAACCAGATAAAAAAGTCATAAAAAGAGTAGGAGTAATAATGAGAACCAGTGTGATACCAGGTGTGATAACAGGTGAGATAACAACAGTAAAAACTAAATTATAGGTGATGTGACAAATGGAGTTGCATTACCAAAAATATGAGGGAATAACAAGAGTGACAACAAGAGAAGACTAGAATAATAACTACAGTAACAACAATCACAATCATAACAAATAATGCATTTTAAAAAAGGTTCAAAAGGGTAAACCTTGATAAGATGACTTTATTTTATTATTAAACACCTCCATAACTTTACTACATTATTGCTAACCAATAACATTTGTTTTTTGATCATGTTGTGTTCCAATTCTATTCATCAACAGCCATAATCCCAGACTCTTACCAAAGCCTGTAGGCTCGTTCTGCTGCTGGCTTTTTGCAGACCATGACTTGTATGACATGTGGAAAGGTTTCAGGCCAAGTGTAGTCTCCATAGATTGTTGACACTTTTGACTCTAAACAGTTTTTGGGCACTAAAAAGATAGGAATAACAAAGGGTGATATGGTTTCTTTTGTGACATGTCATTAATGTGTTTAATTGTACTTACGTATGTGCTGGATCTCCACAATTATTGCTTCAATAACAATGGAACAGTTTTCATACTTTGAACTTAACGTAAGATTGATGAAAGCCATTGTTTCTTCAATGCTTTTTTGGTTGAACTCCTGAACATGGAAGGAACAGTTATATCTGCCAATGATATAAGGTGACGTGACGTCAACGTTAGGATAAAGAAGGACAGAAGTACAGAGAAGAACACCAAATAGAAGATGTTCAAAGACCAACAAAACAATAAATTATCATGATTATTAATATTTTTAACATTTTTGGTTGCCACCTACTCTTTCCATTGTTCTTCCAAAATCTAAAAGCAAATAAACAGTGACAGTTGGTGAATTTGGAATATTAGTATCTCAGATGCTCTTTTCAGGCAATTTAGGAATCATAATTAAATTGTTAAATTTAATAACTTATGGAAGAGTTACTCACTGTCTTTTCATCGATTCTATTCATGATCCTAAGAAAAAAAAGATTAATGTGAAACTGTTACAGCTTTGACATTCTTTTTGTTCTGTTCTTCCATTACCTCTTGTCATCGTTGTCTTTTATGACCAGATTCAGAACCAACATGTTTCTGCTTTTCTCCAGGCTCTCTGTCACCTGGGTTAAGAGTAGAAACGTGTACTTCTAAAAGCATTTCAAAAAATGTATTTAAGTAAAAAAGAGGTCAACATTTTTACCCATGTTTTAATGACATGTGTGGGACTTGAAGTTGTTCCAGTCATGTGTAAGAGCAATTCAACTCTGAAGAAATTGTCTGGTTGATCTGAAGAGACAGAGGATATGAGCACAGCTTTAGAGTTTATCTGTGAGTTTATTTAAGTCACATCTGTAAATCAGGCTGCATTTCACTTCAGACAAATGTCTTTAGTTACAACCAAGGTTATAATAGTTCTGGATCATCCATTACAGTTTTTTTGTTTGTTTTTGTTTTGCTTTGACTATTGTGGTTAGTTAGTTGAATTAGTTTTAAGGGTGAGTTATTAGTTTTAGTGAAGTGAACATTGTCCAATCAGGTCTCCTCAGCAGCCCTAAGGACTAATGAAATGACCTTTCCTATTTATAGCTTCATTTTTTATTCACTTTTGTTGATCTTTTTTGTTAGATATAATTATTTTCTGTTTGAACCTGTTCACAAAATACTGCTGAAAAGGTTTGAATCAGCAATCATCCTGTGAAAACACATCCCAGTGGGTCTGCTTCACTCCTCTGGATCAACAAATCCTGTTAAATGATTATAGGAATTTTTCTTCAGTGTTAAATAAAAAGGACAACAGTGTTACAGATGTCAGAGACAAGACTTGGAAATAAATAGATGAGAGAGTGAAGGAGTGAGTGTTGATTAGAAAGTTCTTGATCCTGGTTAATGACACAACTCAGTCTGTCACATGATTCATACATATCAGATGAAGACAAATACAAAAACATAGAACAAACAGGAAGAAGGTAGAACTTCTGCACCACACACTGGGAGGTTCTGCTGGTTCTGCTTCATGTCACTCAGAGGATGTATGTATCATCCTCTGGGGGGCACTCTGTCATCATATCTGTGGCTGTGTCTATGAAGGAAACATCTCTTTAAATGTGTGATTTAAAGATGTGTAGTCTGTTGAGGTTTGTATTTATTCAAAAGTCTCTTTGCTGATGTGTTGCAGTAGTGATGGATGTTTAAAAAAGACCGCAGGGGCACGGACAAGAAGAAGTACCACAGAGGCAGGTTCTATAAAGACACTGCCACCTTTTGCCAACATCTATTGTCGCCATTCTGCCAAGTATCGAAATGAGCGAAGGCCTACTGTATACAACAACTGACGAGAAGTGAAGTGTCGTATAGCGCTGCCAGTTCACGTAACACTGCTAAATCGATTTGATGCAAAAGAGAATTTTTATCTATAACTTCACTTCTTTTTAATTACTTTTGTAAACACACAATATGATTTCAGTAAGTTGATGTTTTTCCTTTTAATGGTCCTTTTTTATTTTTCATTCGTTTTCGTTAACAATAATAACCGTTGTTACAACAGTGGTTTCTGTGGTGCCCCATATTTTTGGGACAATTGTCAACTATACTGACCTGCTGTGTTAGGGTTTTTTCTGGACTTGTTCTCAGCACGAGCCACAGGAACTCGAATTTGTTGTGTGTCTTTAAAGAGAGAAAAATAGTCACACGAAAACCAACAAAACTATGTAAATAAAAAATGCATACACCTGGAAAAACAAAAACCCTCCATTAAATAATCCACTCATTTTAAGAGAGTGACACTTTGACCAAGAGGCAATGTCTCTGTCATTGCTGTGGAACCCCAGGGTTCAGCTCCTGGCCAAGATCAAATCCTGGTTAGGGAGGTTGGTATCTTCCAGTGGACTCACCACCCACAGAAGGGTTCAGGGGGGGGGGTTGGTACAGTGCATTGAAATTTGGTGGTGAATGCTGCCCCCGCGACCCAGTAATGGATAGAGTGGATGAAAATGGATGGATTGATGGATTTTAAGGGAAAGTTCAACAGTACAAAAATCCAACAAATGCTGTGGATAATCATGTAGAATAACTGTGATTTCAATCATTTTGATGAGGATATAATCCATCTACTTTTTCTTTTCAATCGAGCAGCATTTAAAGAATAAATCTTGATTTTACCACAGTGCGGATTTTCGTTTGGCCACCAGGAGGCAGTCGTGTTTCCACTGGCATACATCCCAACCCACCACGTCTCCATCTGCACAACTCTTTAGCTCTTCAGAACTCCATTCTTTGGACCACATTCCAAACAGACCTTCTCCCCACCCCCACACACCTTCCGTTCTCTAGCTGCAGTGTCCTATTGTGGTCCATGTAGTGGGAAACCCCTAGTGTCCTTTCAGGGGCAGTTGATGGGGCAGGCTTAGTTTCACAGGGGCCTGGTCCAGAATGCTTCCATTATTGTAGGACTTCACTCATCAACTTTCATTCGATCATTTGAGACAGATTGAGTGACACTGATGCAATTTCACTTCCCACTCTAGGCTGCGCCCGTCTCCTAATAGCCACACTGATAGCTAGAAACTGGTTCCCTTAATTTAGCAGCTGTGTGTTTTAGTAATATGCAAACAGTCAACTCACTGAGAGACGGCTTTCCTGGGTCTCCTTGTAGCTGCCACAGACACGGACGACCACTGAACTGGACTGTTTTACCCCACGGGCTGGAACCAGCAGCAGCAGAGGCTGAAGTACAAGATGGATCATTTAACTCTGTGATTTTTGTCAATTATTTTGAAATAATTCAAGACCTACCAGAGCTCAGGAGAAATGTTAAACACAAAGAAATGCTGAGTCTGTCCAAAGAGTCCATGACTTGAAGAGTAAACAGTTGGATCTGCTAAAAGTTGACAGCGTTAGAAAATGTTCAACGTTCACTAGTGGTCGAAGAACTGGCCAACATTGACCAGGAACTTGTTCTGTTGTTCGTGTTGCTGTGAAAACCTTTCCACACCTTCCTGTGTTTCTGCTGTTACTTATTAATCACTGCCAATAAACACAACCATCCACAGTGATAACGTTAACAACATGAACCTTGAGAACAAAACCTTTGGAAGGGAATAAAGTTAAAATGATTCTCTCACTAACATATTTATCAGTTGTTCAGGTATCACTCCTGCAGGACGACTGGTCACATGACAGTTGAAGAATACCTCTAGGTGGCAATGTTTGAATCAATCTCAGTATTATTTTTGTTTTTTGCCTCCCTCACCCTGATAAGTGGTCTGAGATTATTGTTATATCTCAGCGTAATGCCTCCCAAAGGTTAAAGGTTATGCGTTTAAATTAAAAATACTCGGATTATTCTACCTTATAATAATATTAATAACAATTACCTAAAGTAGAACCTGAAGCTAATGTTCCAGTGTTGTGATCTCACCTTACGTCTTATTCAGATCATGGGATTGATGCACTCGACTAGGACTCAGTCCAAGGCTCTGATGTACTAAATGTGCGTAGATTTCATCGTGAAAAAGGGTGTACGCAAAAATCCAGAAACTGTCGTGGGTACGTAGGTAGTAAATCCAACGTTTCGTTTGTACATACCAATCAATGTGGGATTTCCATACCACGCCTCAACATACATATGCAAATATATTTAAATGAATGATCTGCAGGCGAATTCATCATGAGGACATGAAAAAAATTGTATACTAAAGCCGAACTATAGGTCCTACTCAGTGAGGTGGAGAAGCGGCGAGGTGTGTTATCTGGTCACTTGTCCGCAGGTGTAAATATTGTAATGCCCCTGCGACGATATTAAGTCCACACTTACCGCCGTGCTTCACTCTCTCTCACTCTCTCACTTTCAGCCACACAGTATCACCACACCTCCTCACTCGCGGAACTATTAACCCTTTCAAACCACGAACATAACGATATGCCTATTAAAATATGAAAATGCATGTGTGTGTTTGTGTGTGAGGCCGTAAACGCCGTTGGTCGTGGCACCGCACACACATAAAGGCAAAAAAGAAATGGTCCGAGATCACATATCACATCACATATAATTTGCACATTGATGGAATGGACATTAAATCCTCGCGTTCCCTAAATCCACGCTCCCGTCTAATTGCGGGATGTTCTAACAACACTATGCCGCTGCAATTGTTAATAACTTTTCTTCAACACTTGTGGCATTCTTTCACATCCACCCATACAACTGCAAACCCGATTTTGAGTTCATCGTTCATAAGTGCGTCTCTGATGTGCACATCACTCTGATGACTACTTGTTTTTGTTTTGTTTTTACATTATTAGCAGTTTCCCAGTTCGCTAAAGGCTGACAGCTGTAGAACCGTGCGTACGGCAGCTCTGGCGCTGTCGTGAGGACCGCACATTTCAACAATCATTTCAATTTTGAGACGTCTGAACGTGAGCGTAAAAAAGGGTGTAAGCAACTTTTTTTGTGCCTACGCAACTCGACTCACAACCCCGCCTCGAGTCACCGAACACATCCAGGGTTTCCAGGACCTTTTTCAGCACCTGCGGACCTCCACCTACACCCTGCTGCCTCAGCTGGCCCAGGCTGATGCTCTGTGACCCAGTCCTGAAGTGGTACCAGAATTTATAGTACTGTGGTCATCAAGCTCCGTCTAGGTCAGGGGTGTCAAACTCATTTCACATCGCGGACCACATACGACCCCTAGGAAGACGTCGCGGGCCGGACCATTAAAATTATAGCATACTTAGCTAGAAATAACCAAAATATCATGTATTTCCTTTGTTTTGGTGTAAAGAAGCACAAGAACATTATGAAATTTGAAATTTAACTTAAAATTTATTGAATAACACTTTTACAAAACATTTCACAAAATTGCACAAACTTTAACAAGTAACTGGTGTTGAATATTATAGTAATGAACTTTATGATTAATTAGACTTATAAAGAAAGACCAACATTAAACTGCACATTTTTTAAAATCACCACAGTAAGTATTAATTTTCACAGACAACGTTGTGGGTGACCTGATAGATTAGATAGAAAGATGAAGAACCTCACAGACTAGTCAGTAACAAAGACACAAATAGAAAATATGTGTTTGCTTCTGATGAACCAAACAGGAGCCGGGTCAATGAAAGTGACGTGACACCAGCTGCTGCTGTTTCCTGTTTACAAGAGAAGATGGAGCCTGTGGCTCAAACATGTGAGACGCAGCAGGACAGAGGAGACAGTGTTCACACACACACACATACAGAAACAATGTTCATCTAGCGCTGAGAGAACCAGTTACTGTCCTACACTGGAGAACCTATAATCGGTAAGCGACCATTTTATCTCATTTATTATTATTTACTGTTATTCCTTATATTCCATACCAACTCCAGAGAGAAAAAATACTAGCAATGATGAACGTGTTTGTTGGGACGTATTTATATTTATATTATTTATATATCCAAACCTGGTGTGTCAGTATTATATTTTTAAATTATTATAAAATCTACTTGGTTACAAGGTTTGTTTTTTTTATTATATACATAGTTCGTGCAAACTAGTATGTTGGTCGACCTGCTATTGAAATACATTTACAGATTTACAGCTCTAGGGGGAGACATCGACAGACACGGCACACTTTAGATCGTGTAGTAGACAGATTCATCACTAGTCGAATACCACATAATTACGCCTCTTGTACTTGACCTGAGTTACGAATCGCAAATAAATGAATGGATAAGTGAATGTAAGAAAGACAGAAAACAGCTGTGATTTTCTCAATGCAGACATTGTCAAGTGAGATTTAAAGAGATTCGGAAGAAGGCAACTGGAATGGTATGTTTTCGTAAACTTTACTTCTAATCCAAGAAGCTTCTCCACTTCATCTCAGATCCGAGTGTTTAGTATGTAATAAAATAAAAATAAATATCAAAGTTCAGAGGTAACCAACAGTCACCTCAACTTTTTCGGAGTGTGTGAGAAACTTCCATGCGGTGGAAGTTTTTTTCACTGCTATATATGGCTTCGTTTTCTTTCCATTTAGCTGTACTGTTTTAGTAGTTATGCGCTTCGTTTAAATGTTATTTTATTTAATGTAGGGTTTTGTTGTTGCCAAGTGAGGTGCAGCATGGGCGGTTTTGGTTAGAAGGTGAAGCGAGAGTCCGAGTGAGATGTCGTTTGCTCATAAAAGTCTCCGGAGGCCACGTCACTCTTTTTTCTTCCCCTCGCGCCCGTGTTTGTGAAAGTTTAGAAATGGCGGAAACAACAGGCTCTTCTCCTTCTCTCAGAGGTTTACGGGCTCAAATTGGTGAGTTCTGGCTTCGTGGTTCCGTTCTTATTCCATGACTCGGGATGAACGATATTTCAAACCGGCAAATTTACGGTTTGTATAGGTATCCGTTTGTCCGTTTCTTAACCGGCGATGGAGGCGAAAATACATCTAAAAGTCTGTATTTTGCCTCAAGTTCGATTCCAAAACATTTCAGTTGTAATTTAAACGAACACGATCATTTAAAAATAATAAAACAATGTTTAAATTTAGCTCTGACGTAACACGGCGTGGATTTTGGGCGAAGAGAAAAAAATTCTCACAATGAATTCAGGAAGTGCGTCCCGTCTAAGTGGTCAGATCGATGTTCCATGTCCTATGTCTGATTTGTCTACAGTTGAGGAGGAACTAGAACCGTAGGTTTAAGTTCTGACGTTTTACCAGATGAGGTCCGAGATCAACATCTGTCAGTCATTGTGTATGTGAGAGAGAGATCATCTAAATTCCTCCACGTCTCCAGGATGAAGTTGTGTCTTTATCCTAGCCACTCTTTCAACAGCTGGGCTGTGCCTTTATCCTAACCCACTCTGTAAATACCTGGACTGAGGATTATTTTGCACGAATAGCTGTGGAGTATAATCCTACTCCTAGTGTATGTATAGTGTATCTGCATCAGCTGGGATCATTCTGTGTCACGTCTCACTTAGTAGTTGCTTATATTTATTGGCAGTTAGTGACTTTGACTTTTAAAGTTAAACAGAACAATAACATTAGTAAAGGTAGTCCATTGTCAGCTCATATAGCCAAAGGTTAACAAATGCTAATATATTCAAATGTTAAAGTAGCTAACAAGAGGATGAAGTAGCCACAAATGGGCAGTATGTTAACAACACTTACTCTATATTAGTAGTGTGTTAGTGTTACACTGGTACCTAAGGCACTAGTGACCTGTTAGCAGTGTGCTAGCACATCATACTTTTTTCTGAGATGGACAAGTCTCCACCTAGGCTAGTCTAGATTAGAGTAGAGTACGCTAAAATAGACTAGGTGAGGCTAGTTTAAACTACACTAGTCTACATTACACTGGTCTGTCAGAGACAGCAGGATGTTATTGTTAACATTTCTCTCTTCCTTACGTAGCTTCGGCTGCACAGGCCCAGGCCCAGGAACGACGCAGTTTGGCTACAAACACTTCCAGACAAACAAGCGAAGCAGCAGCTAAACCTCAAGGCTGCCAACCAGGTACCTGCAGCAGGGTGTGCTCACAGATTCACTTCCTCCTCATCTCTTCACTCTAACAGTGATTCTCTGTAATCTCTCTTTCTGCAGTCATCAACGGTGCCACCCTAAGAACAGACGATAGGTTGCGAGTGGCGAGGGAACGACGAGAGGAAGCTGACAGGCAACAAGGTAAAAAAACGTCAGCACAGCATAGATGAGTCACCTGTATTTATATTTAATGAGTAGTTGTTTTAGTGGTGACATTTTGGTCCTCACTGTGCTCAGCTGTCAGAGGGTCTCAGATCATGGAGAGGGATAGAAAAGCCAAAATGCAGGTTGAACGTCAGCTAGAAGAACGCCAAAAGAAGGTCGAGGAGCAGAGGAGGAAGGAGGAGCTAAGACGAGTGGCTGTGGAGGAGAAAAGGAGGCAAAAACAAGAGGAGGAAAAGGTTGGGTATTAACTTTCTGGACCTCTGGTCATGGATTCTTTTTCTCATGTAATGATAATGCTTGGTAACAGCAGCCTATAAGGTTGATGCTAAGTTTGCACACTTTGGTTTTATTACTAAACTACTATTTGCCTATTCATTTGTCAGACACTTATACTCTCAAAAGATTTATGCCTCGTGAATTTATTACAGAACACAATGACATATACCTTACCTTATATCAGTGTTGCTTTAACCAGGCATGTCCAAACAGCTCCACAAAGTCCCAGTGGCTGCAGGTTCTTTTCCCAATGAAGCAGCAGCACACCGTCAAGACACACAGTCTTTAATCACCTCGTCTCAGTCTTCAGACAGCTGATTGGTCAAACTGTGCGCTCTTGGTTGATTGGAACAAAAACCTGTAGCCATACAGCCCTTTGAAGAATGACTTTAGACATGCCTGCTTTAAACAAATCTTTGTTTTGTATAAAACAATAATTGTCATTAGGCCTGTGTTTTGACATTTCCACTGTGGTCATTTTTAATAGTTCTATTCCTATATTCCATACGTGCATAGTCATAGAAAGTTGCTGCCAAGTCATGGAAAAGTCATTGAATTAGTTGGTGAAAAAGTTAATGAACGGTGAAGCTGTCCCACAGTGGACAATAATTGATGACCTCCAGTCAACAGCAGCCATCAGGGCAGATCAACAGCACCACCTGTTGATGCTGTGTGATGATGGAAAATTGTGGGTAAAAGTCCACTGTCATTAACACTGCAGTGTCACCTGGAGGTGACCACGAGAACTGCCAAAATGTTTTGGTTTTTTTCTGTAGAACGGGGAAAAACAAGTTGTCGTTTAGAAGGTGGTGGTAACAACACCTTCTCTGTCTCCTCCTCCTTCTGAAGGAACATTATGAAGCAGTAATGCGGCGTTCAATGGAGAGGAGTCAGAGGTCAGAGCAGCGACAGAAGAGATGGTCATGGGGAGGAGGCTCCCCCCACTCCAATGGTTCCACAGGTACATGATTAGGCCCACGCTATGACAACAGCAACAACATCTTCTCCTTCATCAGCTGCTCTCCACTGTTTGTTGTTCTTTGACACCTGGTTCTCCCCTCCCTAGAAAAACGCTCCTCATCTTCCGTAAGCCTGAAACAGTTGAGCGATGGAACAATTAGCAAACGCCTCTCGTCCTCTTCTGCTGCTCTTCCCAAGTCCCCTGAACAAAGTAAAGCCTCCGGTGTGTCCCCCACACCCTCATTATTGGTCAACACCATGGTGCCTTTACTGCTGGATTCATTCCACTCTTCCACATTTTTTCAGGTCGTACAATGAAAACAAGAAGTTCTTCCCTGACACGAGTAAGTGTGGGCAGAGCCCAGATGTCTGCCCATCCTGATGTGGAAATGCCAAAGGATGAAGGTGTTGATCACCAACCAATCAGTTGGGCTTTTTTCTTCTTCTCCTGTCACTTTTCTTCTCAGTCCCAATCGTTATAAATGTGTGCTTCTAGTAAACAACTTTCTGTGGTAACTAAACTTTGTTAACAGGAATTAGTTAACGCAATACTCTGGGTCTCAAACCATGTGACCAGATAAAGTCCTGCTCACCCCCATGTGTCTTTGTCGTCCTTCTGTGAACCCACGTTTTGTCCTGTCATTTCTCCAACCGTTAACCAACCTCCAACCCTAAACATAATGTGAGCCTCATCTTAGACAAAAAGCATCAAAATACTTGAGAACAGAGGCAGAATTTTGGAATTGAACCAGAGACCTCTTCTCAAGGTCAGACACTACACAGACAGCGCTTCATACTTGCCAAACCCACCCTTACTGCCAACATTTTATCCATTTTCCTGAAAATGTTTTTCAAATTGAATCTTTTTGTTTTCACCATAAACCTTTTGATTCTTCTGTGTAAATTCCTGCGATCGCTCACCTGTAGGTTCTTAGTTCCACTATTTTGTGCTGTTCTAAATTGACAACACCGAGACACACTGAGGCGAGGTTGTCCAACTTCAATATCCCATCTTCTTAACCAACCTTGAAAAAAACAAAGACAGACTGCTGAGGCTAATGCTAACTTTTAGCACTTGTCCTGTTGGTTTAATGTCTCTGACCCACCCTGACCCTCGGCCTTTCCCTTCTATTGTTTGGGCTGCTGTAGCTTACTGGCCACCGGGGTGCAGCACTGCAGACGGCGGGCTCTGTAGTTGCATGTTCACCCCCACCCAGGCTTCACTAGCTAGGAGCAAGAGCACTGCTGCCCTGTCCACTGAGGGAACCAATGCTCCAGGTAACCTCCGCCCAGGAGACCCTAATGAACACCAACCATGGGGTCCCATATTTTTAGAAAGATGGAGCCTGTCTGTTTCAGACCTACATCAGCCCAGGTCTTTACAATGGTGGAGTCCTAGCAGTGTTACCAAACAGGGAAAGTTGACTCACGTGACAGCTGTTGACTTTCCGTAAACGAGGACCAAACACAAACGTGTATTCTGTTTGTCCAGGTTCTCTGGTCTGCGATTAGAGAGATGTGATTTGTGACAGTGACTATCAGTTATTGTTACTTACCACAGCGTCACCTTTGCTTATTTTTCTAACACTAATGTGACCTGTGTATGCAGTGTCTTTTGTGGTTTTTTTGACGATTTTGTTGTCCTGGGTTTCCTTCTCAGTTCTTGTTCGTCTGCTGTGGGTTTAAATCTTTTTAACTTAACAGTTTTGTTTCTTTTCTTGCTCCATTATGGCTGTTTATCAAACCACCGTTACCTTCACCAGAGTTCCACCAGTGCCCTCGGTCAGCCTTGGCCACGCCCATTCATCTGCCACCTCGGGGGCCACTGCGTAGCCGGAGCAGCGACCGACAGAAGAGTGGCATTATCTGTGCTTCAGCTGATGTGGCTCTAGACCAATCATTGGTAAGAACACGAGAACCAGTAACAAAAGTAAATGTTTTTTGTAAACAACATGAAACCATATATTTTGTTCACATTGTTGTAAATGTCATTCCTACTAATATAATATGGTCTTAATTGTAAACTATCCTATAGTTTACAACCAACCCACTAATGTCATGTCCTAGCACACACTAACACGCTAGCACGTTGTCTAATTTACTCTCTGTAAATCTACAGAAGGAAAAACCTCTGGTGTCCCTTGGTCAAAAACGCCCTGTTTCCCCATCTACCACCTCCCTGGGGCGGAACCGGTCACCCTCCCCAACCCCCAAAATGGCACCAAAGAGAACTACATCCCCAGCTGCAGTGAAGTAAAAACTCATGGTTTCTAATTTTGTTTTTAATAAATAATACATATTTTTTTAACTTCCCTACTTTCCCCTGACAGACAGATGTCAAGATCACGCCCCCCATCACCTGCTGCAGTCAAACAGCGCCCCCCATCCCCTCACTCTACTTCCACCAAAACCCTGCCCATCCAGAAACTACCTCTGACTCCAACTGGAGCCATGACTCTGCGAAAGAGAGACTCTAAGTCCAGAGACACAGTTCCAGTCCAGACAGAGTCCAGAACCAAAGAAAAGGAGGGTGAGAACGGTTCCACAGCTCTTCATAGAACTGTTGTTGGAACTGTTGACAACGATCAGAACAGCTAAAGAAGAACAGAAGCTAATTAGCAGGGGTTAGCCTAGCCTAGCTTGGGTGAACACAGATTCTGAGTAGTCTCTGCAGCAGAAGTAATGTCACCCCCTTATGGAGAAAATATCTGGGTGTTAGGTCCTGAAGGTTTCTGTTCTCTCAGCAGGGACCAACTCTGCTGCTGAGGCAACAAAGATCCTGGCCCAGAACCGAAGACTGATGAGGGAACAGAAGGAGGAACAGCAGAGGCTCCAGAGAGAGGAGGAGGAGAAGCAGCAGCAGAGGCTTCAGAAGGAGGAGGAGGAGAAGCAGCAGAGGCTTCAGGAGGAGGAGGAGGAGAAGCAGCAGAGGCTTCAGAAGGAGGAGGAGGAGAAGCAGCAGAGCGTTCAGAAGGAGGAGGAGAAGCAGCAGAGCGTTCAGCGGGAGGAGGAGAGGTGAAGATCAACCACATTTTTATAACATGTTTATCAGAAAGGTGACTTCATGATGGTGTCCCTCTGGTCCGACCTTGATTCAGGCTTGAGGAGGAACTGCTGCAACAGGAGGGGGTGGAGAGGAGGCTGAGAGAACAAGAAGAAGTTGGACTGGCAGAAGAAGAAGCCATGAGGCGAGCAGAGCTTCAAAAGGAACGAGTAGAGGCCGAGACAAAGGCTCAAGAGGAGGCGCAGAGAGTCAGAGAGGAGAGGAACCGGATCATGGAACAGAACCAGCAAGAGCGCTTGGAGAGAAGGAAGGTGAGGAGGTCATAGATAACTGTTATATTAGAATATATCAAATGTATTAATCATCATCATGAGTTATCGTCTTAATATTTTACTACTAAAATAATTTGTACTAGTAAAGAAGAAGTTATCATTTTGATGGTTTTATCCATGGTGTCTTTCAGAGAATTGAGGAGATCATGAGGAGGACCAGGAAAGGAGAGTCCAACGATGTAAAGGTGAGGTTGAGGAGGCGAAATATCCTACTGTCCTTAGGAAACTCATGTTTATTTCTGTTGTGCAGAGGGAAGAAGATGAAGAAAGAAGTTCTGAGGAGAACAGGGAACATAGCAATCTTCAGCGTGAGTTCTTCTTCTTTACAGATTTCACTTCCTGTAAAACTTTCACTGAACTTACTTTTGTTGACATCACTGCAATGTCTGAAGTGGACCAAGACAAGTGTGACCCATCTGCTGTGGAACACTTGGAAGAACCTGTGAATGGAACCACAGAAGAAGGTGAGACTGAGGAGAAAGAAAACCACAGTACAAAGAGCAAACAGTGCCATGAGCTCAGCAGGTAAATGAAAACCACAGCGTTCTCAGTCTCATCATGTCGACTCTCATGTTGTTTCTCTGGATCTAAGTCTGGAGTTCTGACTCTCTCTCCTCTTCAGTCCAGTTCCTAAAGATGCCTTCATTCATGACTCAGGTCTGAATGGAAAATCCAACCAGTGGAGCTTTGGAGAACTCATCGACGTCCACACCAGGACAGAAGACCAGAACCAGGTACGGATCAACCGGGAAGGGAGTGGAGGTGGGACCAAAGGAACCTTTGGAGATCCAGAGAACCTCATCAAGAACATGTGTTCTAAGCAGCCTTCAGAAGCTCTGTGAGGCCTAAGACCTTCAATGTTTGAAACGGCTCAGAAGTCAGCGGCGGCTGCTCCAAAGATCTTCTTGGTCCTGGTTGGACATCTAAAGCCATGTGAAGGAAAACTTTCACAGGACACCAATGTAACATTTCAGGGAAATTCCAAAGATTTCTTTAACATTGATTCCATTGACCTCTTCTGTGCGGGAGCTTTTTGTCTTGTCATAATTTATTCATGTTATTATTGTGGTTTGTGAAGTTCCTGCAAATGTTTGGTCCTCAGCTGAAGTTTGAGCTTAACCGAAGAAAACATTTCTAGACTTGTTTTGCAGAATCTAAATTATGGCCTTATCATTCTTGACTGTAAATAAACTTCATTATTTAGCACAAACTCCTGTAAAATTCCTTCATGTTACTGCCTCCTGCACTTGTTTATCTTGTGCCTCCAGAAGCAGCTAGGAGCTAACGTGGCATGTAAGCACTAATGTGTTGTTGACACTAGGTGCTGTTTTACTACGATGCCAGCTAGTGTTGTTTCAGCACAAGCTTAGTGTTATTATGTAAGCAGTGTTTAACCTCTAAGATGCTAGCTCCTAGCTGGCGTCTGAGTGGAGTTTGAGCATTGACGTTTCATCTCAAACTTTTCACTTATCTTGTGTTTATGCAAAAAAACATTTCTTAGTTGTATTTAAAGTTCATTATTGTTTGTAAATCAGTATTAGACACAGGAAGTGTCAGCTGACATCTGAAAAGAAATACATTGACCAAACTAATTTGAATGATGTTTTTTATTCAGGATTTTAATCTGAATAAAGTTTACTTGAGTTTTTTTTTCTTAATGGATGTTTGATTCTAAAACAAAAAATGTGAAATTTTCCTTAAAATGGTTGGAACACAAGAAGAATTTGAAAAAAAAAAAGAATTTCATGAATTTCCACACTTTGTTTTGTTTGTTTTTCTAGTAAAATGTCTCTAGTAAAATTATTTGCACTGCAGGTCTAAGCAGAAGTGTGTGTGTGTGTGTGTGTTTCTGGAGTGAACTATGTGTTCTGCTGTTTGTAACTGAATCTGAATCTAAACCTGGACCTTAATAAACCTAAACTGTTACAATAAGAACAAATGTTAATGACTTTATTTTGCACATCAAAGCCAAGACTCATCAACTGTGTCCAACTCAACTTCAAACAAGAGGAATAACCAAACCTTGATGCTGTTTGTTAGATACTAGCGTTTCTAGCCAAGCAGAATTCTAAATTAGATTAACTTAACCCACAACAATAATTCCTCTAAAACAGAGTTCTCAAACTCCCAGCCAAAGAGCAACTTCTGGCCTACAAACCCCCAACATCTGTCCATGTAATTTATACAATTATTTTTAATAACCAAAAAAGAACATTTGAACCCAACTAATCCAAGGTACTGCAGTATTTCAGGTATGAAGAACTTAATTAGTAAGGTTTTCTCGAGGTTTAAAAAACAGGGTTTGTACATTTTGAAAAAAAAAAAAAAACTATGTGGGTTAAAAAAAGCGTGCATAGCAAGGTGCAGATGAGATCAAGGGATAACTCGCTACTAACAGCCAATCACAATGCAGGGAAGGTGCACCTTCAACAGACGTTTGACATCTCTAACATCGGGAGGCAGCATTGATGAGCCTAGCTACATATACAAGCTAAGATACATTTACGCCTCGTGAATTCATTACAGAACACAATGACATATACCTTACCTTATATCAGTGTTGCTTTAACCAGGCATGTCCAAACAGCTCCACAAAGTCCCAGTGGCTGCAGGTTTTCTTTCCAATGAAGCAGCAGCACACCAGACTTTAATCACCTCGTCTCAGTCTTCTGACAGCTGATTGGTCAAACTGTGCGCTCTTGGTTGATTGGAACAAAAACCTGTAGCCATACAGCCCTTTGAAGAATGACTTTAGACATGCCTGCTTTAAACAAATCAATCATTAGGCCTGTTTTTTGACATTTCCACTGTGGTCATTTTAAATAGTTTAATTCCTATATTCCATATGTGTATAGTAGAAAGTTGCTGCCAAGTCATGGAAAAGTCATGGAATTTGTTGGTGAAAATTTGTATGAACCCTGAAAAACACAAAACATTTGTACTATTTAAAAATGTATACCAAAGTAATTTGAAAGGTAAACTGACAGTCAATGACATCTGTGTCCGTTTTTTAAAAGCAAAAATGTCAAAAAATATTTGGACTTGATTCTTGAATGATTGTATTTTACAGCATTTCTGATTAACATAATTAACAACAGGAACATCTCTGATGTGACCCTCCAATGAGATGACAGCAGAATGTGTGGCTCTCAGCCCAGTGGAGTTTAAAACCCTGGTCTAAAACCTCAAGCTCCCATGAAAAGAAATTATTCACCAAAACTGACATGATTTCTATTTTTTACATTTTAGTTTTTGTTTGAGGTGCCACAGTGACAAATGTGCTGATTCACAGCTTCTTGGCGCAGTCAGGGCAGTAGATGTTATCACCACTGATGACGAAGCGCTTGTTGGCCAATGAGAGGCTGCACCTCTTACAGGTGAAGCAGTATTCATGCCAGGCGTAGCCTTCGTAGTTCACCACATTGGTGCCATGTCCGAACCCTGTGTAAACAGAAAGGTTCATGTTCTTTCAGACTACAGCAGGAAGTTTGTTGGAACCTCAACAGCAGTTTTTAGTTACGCTCACCTGTGATTGGGTTTTTGCAGCCATGGCATTTTTTGGCCACATCAGTCTTGTAGCAGTCAACGCAGTAAACATTGTTCTCGTGTGAAGTGAAACGGGCTTCGGCCAGAGGTTTACGACAGGTGCGACACACGAAGCAGTCGGAATGCCAGGGCTGCTCCTGGTAGCTGATGCCTCCAGAGGTGATGGGCTGTGGGGGAACAGAGACAGATTCATTCACCAACTGTCAAACCGTTCATTTACGGACCTACTTGTTTTCCTACCTGTTTGCAGTGGAAACACTTCTTGGCAAACTTCTTGTCGTGACAGCCAGAGCAGTAAACGTCCTCACCTTTAGTCAGGAAGCTCTTCGTGCCAATTGGCTGCTTACAGTCAAAGCAGGTGAAACAGTCTTCATGCCAGACTTTATTCTTGTATTCCACGCTCTTGGTTCCTGGACAAATATTTCAGGTCAGTTTGTTTACTGCGCATCTGCAACACAGATCATGAGAGAGGAGGCCACGCTCACCAGGCATCACCACTTTGTAACAACCCTGGCAACGGTTTCCATCCTCACGAGCGCCACATTTGCCACACATAATTTTCCCATCATCCCTTGCGCTAAATGGCTCACTGGCCAAAGGTTTGTAGCACTTAGCGCAGCGGAAACAGTCCTCGTGCCAGTAACGGTTCTTGTGGTGCAGCTCCTGGGAGAGAATAAGGAAATTACAGTAGTTTATTTCATTCATTTTTATAGGATTTTTATCATATTTTTTCTGTTGTTAATGATTGAGAAAAAATGAAAAACTAACATTTTTTTCAATATTCAAAAAATAATTTTTAATGATCATTTTTAGTAATTTACTGTATTAATAGCACAATTGTAAACCTTTGTGTAAATGTTTATTGATCCTAAAATCTTAGAAATACAGAGTTAGGGTTCGCAACAGCAGTGGTAATTCTACACAAGACCAGTACCAAATAAAGAGAAATACTATTAGAAATACTATTATTTTAAGACTTAACAACAGTCTTGAAGCTTTGGTTGACTACTTACTCATTTCTCAGTGTTTCTTAGATGTTTGAGAAAATAAAAAGAGTAATTATTAATTATTAATTTAAAAACTTAAGTCATTTTCACTCTTTCACCTTTGCATCTGCACCAATTGGTCGCTTGCATTCGGCGCAGGTGTTGGCGCAGAGCTTGTCGAAACACTTGACGCACATGTGTTTGTCGTCCTTCTTCACGTACTTCTTCCCATGTAGTTTGTCGCGACAGTAGTAGCAGTCGAAGCGCTCGGTCATGGTGGCGGTCAGGTAGCTCCTGGGACCTGAGGACAGAAAATCAGAGCGGGACCTCACAGTTTCAGGCTGTTGTTTACAACTTAAACCACATGGGGACGACATTGCTATATTAGCGCAAATGTACAGACGTATAACTCGTGATGAAATAAATAACAGAGAGCTCAGTAGAAGTGGAATGTGGTCCCTGTGGCAGCTGTTAGTGGCGGGTTGCTCCTAGAAACCCGGAAAACATTTATGGACTCGGCAGCTGTTAGCCTGTAATATGTTCCACCGTTAGTCCGGTACGGAATGTGGATGGATGAGGACCTGGATCTTCAGCAACTGTAGACATCTTCCCAAGCTCCACCCACTTTTAAAGTTGCCAATGACACCCCCTGTGCTGTGGTCTATTTTGGTTAGAGTCCAGAAACTATTTAAAGACAAAGGAGGAGGATGTGGACTGATGAAAACCAGGACCTGAATTACTATTGTGGTTCCAGTCCAAACGGGTGACAGCTGCTACTGTCAACAGATCTGGTTCGTTCAGAGTCACGTGATTGGACCAGGTTCTTCCCTCTGGACATGGTGAAAGGTCACATGGTGACTATGACATGAGAAGTGGAGTCAAGATGAAGTGCGGCTCTATCACAGCATACATCCATCCATCCATCCATCCATCCATCCATCCATCAAGTGTGGGCTGGATCTGCACTTACATGGTATCACAATCACACATATATGCACACACACATACACACACACATATACTCACACACACACGTACAAACATTTACACACACTCTAGACACAGGTCTTTCAGGGGAATTAAGCGTTGTGTTTCAATGTGACCAACTGAAAAACTGTGGTTAAATAAAAAGGTAAAACCACAACAACCACAACAACAGTCACCATAACTCCACCCGACTTCACACCAAAACCGTATTAATGGAGAAAATAAGCAAGGTTTTTACAGAAACTTCCATCTTAAAAAAAGAAGTTTTGCAGTTGGTCTGGTCCAGTCTGGTTCAGTCTGGTCCAGTCTTGTCCAGTCTTGTTACCTGAGTGTTTGTAGAAGGTCATGTTTGGTTCCAGTTGGTGAAGATGAAACAAAACAGAGAACAGGGAGTTGGACCGACAACAGCAGCATCACAGAAGATCAGAGCCTCTGTTTATACCCATCTGTGACACACACACACACACACACAGACTCTGACTCAAAGTCCAAATCCAACCTTCAGTCCTTTTTAGGACATGAGTCCAGGACCAAGGGGACGTTGTCGAGGGACAGATGAATGGATTCCACACATGTGACATCAGTCGGAAAAAAAAGGCCGGCTGAAGGTTGAACAAAAGGTCTTCAACATCAAACCTTTAAACATCAATAATCAGCAGCCTGAGCATTAGTTTAACGTCACTGACGATAACTCTGGTCAAATTTGGCAATGCAGATAGGAGCGCCCCCTGCTGTCACATCTTTTCAGCCCTGTAGCTCAAAAGTCTCAGCTCTGAGGCACAGAGGGTTTTACTGCTTTATATCATAGTTATAGCACTGTCTTACCACAAGGTGTCTCTTATGTCTGATGACTGACATGAATCTGATCGAGCCTGGTGATAAGATGTTGTTTGATTGGTTTCTTTCATCAATTCCCTTGATTTAAAACATGAAACNCCAATGGCTGAAGGTAGATAAGAAACAGAAATCTGTCCTTAAAAAAGGTAAAGATTTTTTTTAATTCTATATTTAGGAGAATGTTTTCAAAACTTGTGTCTAGTCCAAAGTTGGACCTGGACCCAGACCCACTGTGGTTTTCATTTAGTCCAGTGTTGACGCACTGACGTAGATTAACAAGAACACATGAAACTTTAACCTGAAAAGGGATCCCATAATAACCAGCACATCATATCACATCATATCTCATGTCACCAATCTTATATGATGAAGATACTAATGTACTTCTCTGAGGGTTTTTTGAACCAATTGGAATTATTTTGGCCAACAGCCACTTTTTGCTGATTCTGACTTTTGTAGCTTTTGATTTCATTCAATTGACAGAATATTAAAAAAGTGGAGCGTTGATGCATTTTTTTTTAATCTAAAAACTGCACTGCACTCAATCACAGGTTCTCTGTTCAGTTCAACTTTGACGACTGAAATAAAACTGCAATGTTCTCTAAAACAAAACAGAAACATTTCTGCTTGATATTTTTTTGTTTTTGTTGTTGATGTTTTACTTTTTTGGACGAAGAAATATTCATGTTTATGTTATTATTCATGTTCCTGAATGACCAACAGACACGGGTCAGGGTTCAGGATGATTTTGGACTCACCACCCCGTGGGCAGCCCTCCATGTCAGGTCTGTCCGGATCTGCTCCTGTCATCAAAAAGGAGGCCAAAGTGAGTCTGCAAAAAAAAAAGGAAAGAAAAAGTTTTCACATCAACATGAATCTCTAACAGCTGACATCTTGTCTTCTTCTTCTTACTTTGTCTTTGTTGGCTAACAGAGGCAACACGGCAGCCAGACGTTGAACAATCGCAGAGATTCTGAGCTCATGTTTGAGCTGAAAGAGATGGATGAGTTAGTGGCGCTGTCATTGGTGTGGAACCCCAGGGCTAGTTCGAATCCCGGTTAGGGCAGTTGGTACCTTCTGGTGGACTCACCACCCGCAGGAAGGTTTAGGGGGGTTGGTACGGTGCAATGTGATTTGGGTGGCGACTGCTGCCCCCGCGACCCGGTAACGGATAAGCAGATGAAAATGGATGGATGGATGGATGGTGATGAATGAGTTCTGAGGACAGAATCTCAGGACAAGAGCCTAGAGATGAAGCGAAGGCTTCAAATCTCTTTTCACACAGGTCGGTGTCGGTGGGTCGGTGTGTGTGAGTCAGATCAAGGATCTTCATTATCTCCACCCACAACTTTTGCAACCAGGAAAAAAAATGTAAAATCCTGACTTGGATGAACTGGTTTATTTTATGTGGACATGCAAATGAGAGAGAATTTAAACCAACTTTAACAAACAATCACTCATTAGTCGGTATCTTACGACACCACCTTCAAAGGTCAAAGGTTATCCCAGCTCAACATTTAGAGCTAAAAAAATATCCTTTGAAAGATATTTCATATTTTCTGATTTTAACATCAAATGTTAAAGAAAAGGAGCAGAAAGTTCTGGAATCTGAGTCAGATAACGAGTTGGTGAAGCTCCATGAAGAACAGTTCTGGAACTGTTTTCAAGAGGGCAGAGGTTCTCCTCTGAAGCGAAACAAACAAACATGGCTTCTGTTCTTCTTTATGACATCATTTTTCAGAGACAGGAATTAAAACAATCAATAATCAACAAAAGTGAAGCACTTTTCCCATAACCTCCAGAAACCAGATGTGAAATAAAAAAGCAGCATTTGATTTAACAAAAGACTTCCTTCAATAAAAACGGAATGAAAAAGGTAGTAATGCTACTGACCAGCAGGGGGAGACCCGATGTGCCTCATGGAGATCATTCTGTTTGGAACACTACAGTAAAATAAAGCTCCAGGTTTTGTTTGTTCTCAAGTCAGTTCTCTGACCTATCTGTCATTTTTTCCCTTTTCAAACATTTTATTTTAATGATGAAACTAAAAATAATAAAAATACTTCAACAAAGCTTTAAATGACTTTGTCAGAAATGGCAAACGCTTGCACTTTTTTCTGGTTTCTGTGTCACAGTTAAAGCTCAAAGAATTCTTGGGAAAATCCTAACCTTCACTATTTCATTCCTTGCTGCTTGGGTTCTAACAAGTTCACCTCCAGGAGTGGTCCAGTTCCAGTCTCCAGTCCTTAAACCAGGATCTCCAGGCACTTATTGAAACCAAACAGATGAAGGTTTCTGACAAAGACAGAAGGCAGAACAGCATCTGTGCTCCAGGCTTCACTTCAAAAACCACCTGGAAATCCTACACAACCCCATCCTCAGCTCCTTTCACCTGCTCACCATCACCAGATGTGAGTGTGAGAAAAACCCAGAAAAATCGAAAAATGTCTGGATTTAGGACAAACGTGCAGAAGCATGAAAGAAGCACTATGAGGTAGAGATGTAATAATCTTCCACCAGAGGGAGCTGTGAAGGAAGGACGAAGAGGAGGAGCATGAAGAAGCTGACACAGGTGCTGGTCTTCTCCAAGTCCAGCCCAGGTCTTTTTGTTCTTCAGGGTGAAGGTCTGCTGAAGGTGGGCTCCGAGTCATCCATGGGCAGAACCAGGCGGGTTCCTCTCATCACCAGCTCATGGTCTCCATATGTTAATTCTCTGTCCAAATCTTCAGATGTGGAACCAGGGGCTCCAGCAGTGGTGTGGCCCCCCAAGGCATCAGTGCTGATGGTGACGTCACCATAGGTGAGGCTGAGGTCCCGGTCGGACAGGATCAGGTCAGAGTCATCGTCCTTCAGCTCCCCTTCATTCTAAACAGAAAAAAAAGACAGAGGTTAGTGTGACCAGAACTGTGGGTCACTAATTTATTCACTGAAATGACCTCTGACCTCAAAGGCCTGTGGGCTAGTCAGGAAGTGGGCCAAGGGTCCACAGCAAGGGGGTAGTGTTGCAGTCAAAGGGGGGCCACTGTGGGTCAGGATGGGCTTCAGGTAACTGAAGAAGTCGAGTTAAAGAATTCACAAACCTTAGGTGGACAAATACTCCCTCTGCTGGCTGACATGCGGAGCTGCGTTAGGATGATGTGTCAGCAAGTAAAGCAAACATTTGAACATTTTTGAATTTCTCTAAGGTTCTTTCCTCTGCAGGATACTTGTGGTCAAAGTTGTACCAGATCCTGAAGAGCCAGACACTCTCCTGTTTGGTGCTTCTTCTCTCTGAACCCTCACTGAAGCTCATCTGTAATCCAAACCCAAACTAGTTTTAATGACGCTCCCTCCTCCAACGTTTGAGCACGTTTTTAGATGTGGTTTATTTGAACTCACAGAGTTATCCTGATCAGCATCCACACCCACTCTGGAACAGATGAGCCACAGTTAATCAATGTTGTCTGTCTGATCAATTGATAATTGATCATTGGTGAATGTACCGTATGTGTTGGCAGGACAACATCTGTGTGGTCCCTCCTCCACAGATCCACACGGTGAAGAAGACAATGAGCAGCGTGGTAGAAAACATCATCTGACGAGCATACGTGGCTGTATCTCTGATGGACAGGGCAAAGGTCATGGCTCCACGTAGCCCTGAGCAGAGAGAGAGGGAGGGAGGGAGGGAAGGAGGGAGGGAGGGAGGGGGGGAGGGAAGGAGGGAGGGAGGGAGGGAAGGAGGGAGGGAGGGAGGGAAGGAGGGAGGGAGGGAGGGAAGGAGGGAGGGAGGGAGGGGAGAAAGGGAGGGTGGAAGGGAGGTAGTAAGTGAGTGAGTGAGTGAGAAGAGAGAGAACCACACAAACAACTCAACTCAGAGTGCCCTGATTCAAAGATGTTGGTGGGTCTGTCTGACTGTCTGTCTGTTGTCGAATCGTAGGAACCATTTCCTGTTTCCTGCCTTAGAGCAGACCAGAGTCTGTTTCGAAGTTGCTCTTCAGCTGGTCTCCTGGAGGGGCTGAGAGGCATCCTGTCTTCCTCCTCCTCCAGGGTGACACGTTTAGAGCCAACAACAGATTCCTCCCTTTTTAATCAGTCAGTTGGCATTCTTTGCCTTGATGCCCCCGGACACAGGGGGCAGCAGAGAAGATAATGCTAGATGCTAGTTCCAGTCTTGTTCCAGATGTGGCTCAGTGCTTAAGGAAGTAGACTTGGGCCAGAAAGGTTTCAAGTTCAAGTCCACCAGCTGCACCACAGAGGTGCTCTGAGAAAGGCACCGTCCCCACACTGCTGCCCCTGCTGACTGTTGTGATGGGTTAAAAGCAGAGGTCACATTTCATTGTGTGTGCAGCTGTCTCACAAAACATTTAATTTACTGTCCCATGTGACACATTCACCCCACTGATACTGACAGGACATACTGACAGCAGGTGCTTGTTCTTCCTGATCAGACGAGCAATCTCACACACACACACACACTTCTTTAATGTGATCTGCCCATCAGATAGTGATGAGAGGAGAACTCACTCGCAGGTTTTCCACTGTGGCCTTCAGGTCGCTCCTTAACCCTGCTTTGTTATTTGGCCAGTAGCAGACCTCTTCAGTGGGGATGAGGTTGTCAATCCAAAACGCCGACAGTGCACTCAGAGACAGTCAGTCGGATCCCCAGCACCATTTCCTCACTCTCCTTACTGTGACTGGCTGCCGCCGGACCCCAGGCAAGACTAGGACGTGGTCTGACGTGCCCAGTGGAGGCAAGGCACTGCAGCGGTTCACAACCTGAACCTTTGTGTACAGCGGGTCCAAAGTCTTATATTCACGGGTGGTAGAAGGTTGGGAGTGTGGATGAGGGAAATGTAGTTAAAGTCAAATTAATAAAGTGAATTATTTGTCATTGTGACACAGCACTGCACACAAAGAAATGTGACCTCTGCTTTTAACCCATCACCACAGTCAGCAGAGGGCAGCAGTGTGTGGGCACGGTCCCAAGCTCAGAGGACCTCAGTGGTAACTTGGCAGCTGGTGGACTTGAACCTGAAACCTTCTGGACCCAAGTCCACCTGCCGAGCCACCACTGCCCCAACTGTGATGATGACGAAGGCTCCAGGATCTTTTGTTTGCAGCCCTGCAGTCACAGTGACATCACACCCTGCTTCTGAGTTTCCATAAGGGGAATGTAAACAGTAACAGCAACAACACTTAAATTCCCTCAGTAAAATTCCCTCTCCTTAGCTCCAGGAGAGTGGAATACCTCAGGGCCGTCGGCTGGTCGTGGGGGTAAACAATGCTGGTGCTGTTGCAGGCATGGCCCCCAGTAATCCAGAGAAACCAGTGTAGTGAATGCAAGAAACTTTCATTGTGAAGTGTACAGTGTAAAATAAATACAAAAATAAAGATGAAAAAACACACAAACTTAATAAAAGTGGCAGAGCTACTACAACAGGCTGCCATCTTAATATCATTATTATATTTAAATGTAATTTAAATCATTTAAATGAATTAAATTAACTAATTAAAAACAATTTAATTAATTAATTATTTCAAATTAAATCTGGGGTTTGTTCTGACCTGCAAACATCATCATGTGCTGAAAGTTGGACCTGATTTTGTTTCTTCGTCCCAGATTCAGGAGAAACGATAGTGGATAGATGTTCGCTGCTCTTCCCAGAAACACGGCCACCTGCAGGTAGTTAAGGCAAACAGAACCAGAACCACACCAATACCTGTGTAGACCAGATCAAACTACAAAGACAGAGAATAAAACATCAAATTCAAGATCAGCTTCACTCCAAAGATACAAAAGCTCCAACAATGAACATGGGATTGAAGACGTGGTTCTGGAAGGTGAAGAGCGTGAGACCCATGTAGGAGAAGATGAAGTTCTCTGCCAAGAAGTCCAGGAGTTCAAAAAGCTGTGAAACAAACAAGAGGAAGAGAATTTCCAGATGAGTAACAAGATCCTGCGTCAGTAGTCGTGATGATGAGCTCAGCATGTCTGACCTGTTTGGTCCGGTCCTGAGACTCTGGAGACAGGTTGTTGTAGGTGTAGTGAGCCTGAGTGATTCCACAGAACAGGACGGCTACCACACCTGGAAAAAAAATAGGGGCGGGGGGTCGGGAGGGCACTTAAGACCACGACAATAGGTATGATAATAATATTGATCAAATATTTTATTATAGTTAGGGAGATTAATCAATTCAAATTTTCATCTGATTAATCACAGGGTAGCTGAGAATGAATCAAGATTAATCACAATCTTAATCTACAGTATCATGTAATCCAAATGGAATTATTAATATAGAAAAATGTCAAGAGGATTAGGTAAAAGTATAACGCAAATCCTACCAAACCAGGTAATAATGTACATTAGTTTGATAGTGTTGCTGTATTTTACTCCTATTATGAAACGACAGTTTGACAGAGAACATACTGTAGAGGGCAGTATAAATAACACAATACCAATAAAACAGCATCATGCTGTTTCTATTATTTGACTATTTAACTCCTACTACACACTATGCGTGTGCTGTACGTGTGTCTGTGTGTGCGCTTCACCAGTGAATCCACAGGCCTCTGCCAGCAGAAATGTACTCCAGGACATGAGAAAAAAAAGTGCCGTCTCCAGCAGCTGGAAGTCTCTCAGTTTGGTGAATTTGGTGACGTTCAAAACAAACAGTTAAAGATGGAACAACCTGTTGTCAAATCTACACAGTTACAACAACAAACACTGTGATGGTTCCACCATTTTACAGGAATACATGAATGAATGTGAAGGATATGAGTGCAGTCACGATGCCTGTGGCCACGCCCAGAGCAAACGAGCCGCTGAAGACACCGAGAAACATTCCAAAGGATTTCAACAACGCCATTACTTCAAACGTGTGACTGTTGTCTCCTGCAGGCTGATAGGCCACGATGGAGCTGGAGGAACAGGAAAGACACAGAGACACGTTCACACAAACTGGCCCGACCACAGAGTAGAATCACCCTGCCAATGAACACCACCACCCCCACTCCACCCCAACCCACCCCACTCCACCAAGACCAACCAGGGCAATAGTTGAGGTAGATTCTGTAACATATTGATATTTACTACAAAATATTTTATATTATCAAACTTGGCATTATGGCTTCATGGGCGTGGTCACCACTTATGGACCACGTATTGTGTGTGTGTATGTGTGTGTGATCTGAACTTCTGGTCAGACCAGCTAAAAATGTGGCTGCAGTATGAATCTTTACCATTAGATGTAACTAAATCTTATACAGTGTACCACAACCTCATCCAGTCACCAATGTTATTCTTTGATAACAAACATGTGAGTCACATGACCAGCCTGGGACAAACCACTGACTGAATCTTTTAACACCTTTCATTGATTGGAGTAAAATCAAATGGCAGTGATTGGCCCGTTCTCCCACAACACCAGAACATTCTGTTGGTATTGTACTTGTTGTAGCCGTTGAATGAGTTGTTTACAGCTTCTCCATTAAGACGGGACCATGTGCTGGGATCGGCACCACTATCTATAATTCTGTAGGAAAAATGTCAGTGTAGAAGAGTTAACTGGAATTATTTGCAGTTTGAGCCAACCCACAAACAGAAGCAGCTGAAAGCTAATGATGAAGCTCATTAGCATTTTCAGAGTCAGCAGCATTATTAGCTTCACCCTAACTTAGATTTAATAATGAGTGACATCACCGGCAGAGAACTTACGAGGACAGAACCACGGCCACTGCATCGTTAAGAACGCTCTCTCCAAACAGTAGGGCGTAGAGATCCACGTCCACCTGAAGCTCGTTGAAGATGGCCAGGACGGTGACTGTGAAGAGAAGAGAAGAAGACTGACATGACGAACACAACAACCTATGAAGGTTCAAACAAACACCTACCAGGATCTGTGGCTGAAACGATGGCTCCGAAAAAAAGGCAGTCAGTGAAAAAAAAGTCTCCGTCCAGCTGGCTGACCTGCTTCATCAGCACCACGCAGCCATACATCAGCATCCTTCAGAGAAGGAAGGGGCTTCGTTATCATTACTGTACATGATGATATGACTGGTCAGCCTATCAAGGAGATGAATGTTCTGATTGGTGGACTGCACAGATAAAAATTTACATTTTAGAAATATTTACCCAATAACAAAACAGGAAATAACCGTTCCCAGGAATGCATAGGCCAGGATAGATCCCATGTTCCGGAAAAAATGTCTCTGAAAGACAGAAGCAATGAAAATAGTCAATATTAATCACCATATTCACCAAGACGTCCTGAGGAAAAGGAAGGAAAAGGGGAAGTGAAACAAACAGTACCCTTTTTAAACTGTAGCCTGCGTGAAAGATGATCGGAGGCAGAAGAATGTTGAAGAACACTTCTGGGTCAAAGGTCACCTGAGACACAGACACCATGATGTAAAGACTGTCCCACATTAACATCACTCCTCTGTAGACCACCGTGGTGGTAGAGGCACCACAAACAACTGTTCGGGGGTCACTTCCTGTGACACCAGATCAACGTACCTTTCTCAGCATTTCATTATCAGCCACATCTTTAGCTTCGCTGGCACTGATTTCACCTTTGAGTGTGTACTCGTAGAACTTTCCACTGAAGTTGACCAGCAGCGTGGCCGGACTGACGTTGACTTGACAGCTCAACGTCACGTTGCTCACATCTCGGGGAACATGGATGCCATAGCGTAAGATCACACCCACTATTAAGCCTAGAAGAAGAGTTTAAAAAAAGGGGGGAGGGTGAAGGGCAAAAATATAAACACAGGGATGTAGTTCAAACTGGTAACAATGATGTTATAACTGGAGGAAGAGAGAAGCTGCCAGAGAACCAGACAACATGAATGACGAGGGTTTATGAACAGATGTTTCTGATTATTACTGTGTCTGATGTTAGTCATCAAGATTGTTTTCGTCTCTGATTGGCAGCGGCTCGTCGGTCGTTAGCGTCCCTAAATTCCTTGTACCAGATTGTTATCGTGATTGTCCTTTAGTTTTCAGTGGACCAGTCTGTTATTGTCTCTCGAGGGATTATTAGTGTCTCACCGTAAATCATGGCCAGGCCAGTCTCGTGCAGGAAGCGGAAGCGGCGGTGTTTGAAGAGCCAAATAGTGAGGATGGTAAGAGTGAGGAGAAGGATAAAGATGAGAAGATCAGCGCTGTCCTGCCTGTGGCTTTCTTCAGCCTTCTTCTCGGTCACGATTGTGTTCTCCATGTTCTCCATCTGCTCCTCTGATGTTTTGCACACACAGATGCTGACGGACAGCGAGACGAGAAGCAACAACAGGAGCGTCTTCGTCTTCCGCCAGGCGGCGCTGCACTTCCGCGCCATCTGTTAGCGAGAAGAAAATGTTCTCAGGATGTGAGAGAAGAAAAGACTGCAGTGATCTAGAAGACGCTACAGACGAGCTCAGAAAGGCACGGCTTCACACCCGGAAGTGAAATAGAATTTCCCATGAAGTCGAAGGTGAAATTCAAATTAAAAGCACCACGTATGACTGTATTTGTGACGGCCAGCCATAAATCAACAATATTATCCTTTTTAAACCAAACGAGGTTTTGATGGAAATAGAAATGAGAAACCGTCTTTAATCTCGCAGCATTTTGACGGATGTTTATAGAACTTAGGGTGAAATGCTTTTGTTCTGACATCGCTAGTTTCCAAAGACCGGGACAGAAAATAAAATCGCATTTTGAACGAACAATGAAAATTAAATCACAGCGGTCACATGACAGCCACACTCATTTCCGCTTCATAAACATCTTGACATTGAATGTAACATATTTGGATTTATAATGTCAATGAAAAAACAACAGTAGTAGCTCACACAACTGCTACAAAATAATATGTTACTAATAATTTATACAAAGTCACGACAGAAAATGTTGAAGTTAAAAAATATTATATATATATATATATATATACTGCTAGAATAGTTGCAAATATTTGGTAATAAAATGAAGGCTTAAAGGAGTTTGCTGAGAAGATGTTTTTCGGGAATCCAACAAATTAACATCAGTGACTTCTGCAAGACCTTCTTGTCCTTAGGTTCAAATCCGAGCATCATTTCCAGACACAGGAGTCAAGGTCTATCAGGTCAATGTACCTGTGCTGCTCATAATCTCTGTGGCTTCTTTACCTCCACAGCTCCTCTATAGTCTGACCGCGGTCCTGCAGTTCATTATCATCTGAACACCGAGTTCACTGATCCTCTTAGAAATCAACGGAAAGATTGTGTTGAACGTGGTTTGTGACATCACCGCAGATGCAGCTCTGCAGTGATGTCATGGTGTTTACACAAATACATTAAACAACATAAGGCACTCATTTCAATATTTGACAATAATTTATTGTAATCAGTCATAATTTTAAAGAACTTTGATAAATACGCGTTTTCTTCAGCTGAAGTAGTGTGGAAAGTCAAAAAAGACTGAATTCAAAAACCCGTAAGAACTAAATAAATTAAGACGGTATTAAATACTGCACAGTCATAATAATAAAGTTTAAAAAGTTGTTTTTCCCTGTACTATTCTTGTATGTTCTTCACAGAGTTTTCACAATTTGATGCTTAAAATCAAGCCAATCAACTGGAGACGAGTTACAGCAACAGCTGCTTTAGTGGTATGAGTGTTGGCTTTACTTCACATCTATTGCACAAAATTCTTCCTTAAAATAAGAAAAGATCACAGCTGTGAGTTCCACTTTCAGGAGCTGACAACACAAGTTGACAACATTGAAGGGTCAGAGTTAGGGCAGTTAGGGTTAGGGCATGTAGGTAATTCAGGTTCCTTGTGTCTTTCTTTGTTAGTATTCTCAGAGCCTTTAGACGTTGGTTCTTGTCCTCTGCTGCTGTGTAGTGACCAATAAAGTTGTCCTTATGCCCCCCCACCCCACACCCACAGGCACATGTCCTACCACTACACCACAGTGAGTCAATCTAAACTAGCATCATTGTGCACATATCACTTTTCATAAAAGTCACTTTTAACTCACTAAAGATTTGATTTTTCACATTTGTTT